TCTTTTCTTGGGTTACTCATCTTTTGATCGGTGTTGTCGCAGTTGTGGTGAGAGGTGAAGGTGACTCGTCGATGCATGCATGGCTTTTTCGTCAAACGGTCCAAAGCCCAATCGTGTTCATTCTAATTTTTTAAAATAAATTAAATATTATTTTGATCCCAATTTTAGATTTTATTATTGGAAAATTTGAAATGTAACTATTTGGAAGGAATTTCTTGAAAGAAAATTTTGAATTTAATAAACTTATTTTTTAGCTAATTTGAACATGGTTCAACATATTAATGTATCTATCTACGATTAAAAGGTTGTAAGTTCGTATTGTACTCCAATAAAAAAAAAAAGAATTTGCATTGTATTTATGTAGGTAATATTATAATATCTATTGTATAATCCTCTGTTGTTTTCTCTCGAGTGTGAGCTTGTTCTCTAATCGAATAGTCTGGCATCTCCGACTTCTTGCTTGTTGAAGAATCTTTGGGCTTTCAGCTTGAAGTTTGTTGTTTTAGGAAGTTTTTCCGCTACACAACTTGATGTAGCCTTCGATTTGTTGCCTGACGAAGTTCGCAGCTTGACCATGTTCTTCGACTGATAAATCTCCACGTGGGTTGATACAATTAGATGTCATCGAATGACCATAAAAAGGACATGTGACGTAATTTTATTCGTCGATTTAAAATTTAATTTTGAATAAGTGTAAATTTGTGATGGGTCATAAATATAATTTTAAAATAATGATGTGACATTTAATAATTAATTGTCAAATTTTATTATTAAATAATACTATTTTTGTCATTGTCATTATTGTGTTGTTAATTATTTAGTAAATATGAGATTGAATATGTATATAAATGTGTTCATGTGAGTATCTATTGAAGATATATAGGCACCAATAACCTCATGGTCGAAGTTTTAAATCCTCACGCTTGTCATTTCTTGGAATCGATAAACAAAGTGAGAGAAATGTAGATTCTTTTTTTTTTTTTTTAATTCGTAAGCTAAAATAGATATTTAAAAAATTGATTAACCATAATTTACTTAGAAAGTATGCCAAAAAAAGCAAAAGGAGAGTAATTGTTTTTTTTCCTTTATAATATCTTAATAATATGATATTGTATAGTGATTTAAAATGGGATATTTTAATTGATACATTAAACCGTCAATAATCAAAAGTATTTGCTCAATAGATTATTCTATATATAAACTCGTAAATGTCTAAAAGTTCATGCATGATAATGTATGAAATCAAATACATGTAAATTATAGTGTCAAAACAAGCTTAGTTCAACGTGACATACATTTCTCACCAAAAAATAATAAACTCAACCCCCAGCTCACGTACCAAAAAAGGTGGGAAATATGTAGGATTTAGCTCAGTATGGAAAGTAGAATTGGGCCTGTGATCTGAAACATTGGGCGGCCCATAGACGGGAGTCCATATGTATATACGACAAATTCTATCCCGGTTTTCTAATAATTTCAAAGAAAATAAATCGTGGCTATTAGTCATTAAACTCTAAAAAATATTAATCATGTATTTAAAATTTAAATTGTGAATTTATCTCGTTGTTACTTTTTTTTTAATAGCACATCTCGTTTTTGCCTTAATGGTAATATGACGTTTTCTTAATTAAAAAGTATATATAAATATTTATTTAGAAAGGTAGGAGGGAAATTTTAAACCTTCCACTAACCAGAGAAGTTTTTAAAATTATATTAAAAATAATCTTTTATTTATTTGGAATACTAACGTAAAAAAATTAAGAAATAGATTAAGCAAAAAGTCAAATTACCATTTTAGTTCTCAAATTTAATTTTCTATTTTTTTTTTCAAGTTGATATTCATGCTCTAAAATACATCAATTTCATCTTTTTTTTCTTTTTTTAGTACATGAGAGCCGTAAGGGTTAAAACTCAAGTCAGAAATATAATCTTAACTAGTTCAATTAAGTTTAAGTTGACAAACGTTGATACAACAAATATTTCAGTGGTAATATGAAAATTGAAAATAATTATAGTGATTTAAAAAATCTATAAAAATATATTAGATATCTAATATATAAATTAACAATTCAACCCAAAAATTTATATGGATGAATTAGGTAAATTTAAGGGAAATTGTATTGGGTAGCTAAACTTTTATACATATTTACAAAAATGTCAACCACTTTTGTATTTTGCAAATATGACAAAATATTTGAATTTTTATTCTTGGAATTTTTATTATTCCAGGTTTACCCTTATGATATCTTATATACATCTGATGTATATCTGATATACATCTGATGGATGTATATCTGATATACACCCGATAGATGTATATCTCATATATGTCCAATATATCTCTGATATACTTCCGATATACGTTTGATGTACATCCGATGTATCTCTGATATACATCAGAATATATATTATACATCTAATATACATCTGGGGCCTGAGCCTGTTCCTAAAGCATAGGCTCTCGTACCAAATCCTACGTATAAAGAAGCCTAGGCCGACGCCAAATCTGCACCTGCAGAATATAAAAAATCTTCCAAATCATCAAATGAATAGTACGTAAAGAAAGGGCTTTTTGATCCCCGATCTGAGTCTTGTCTTTCGAAGGGTCTCGTTCCGTTCATATGCCGCTTATTTGTAGCAGGGTTTTTGTATGTTTTAGATTATCTAATATATATCTGATGTACATTTGAGGTATATTAGTGGCATATTAAATATATTTGTAACTGAAATCTGATATATATCAGTAGATATTAGTAGATCACAGATACATCAATGTTAGATATCAGTAGATATCATGATTATATCAATGATAAATTAGAGCCATATTAAGTATATATCATAGATGCATCAAAGTTATATTAGTGGTCGTTCTAAAAAAAAGTTATATTAGTGGTAAATCATATAATCATATGAGAAGTTATATTAGTAGATATCACAGTAATATTAGTGGTAAATTAAAGACATATCAAGTATATATCACAGATATATAAATGTTGTATCACCACGGTAAATCAATGGTAAATTATATAATCATATAAGAACCTATATCAGTAGAAATCATAGTTATATCATACGTATATCAGTGACAAATCATATTAGAAGTTATATTGATAGATATCATAGATGTATCAGAAGTAAATTAATTTTATATCAGTATTATATCATTGGTATATGAAAGGCATATCAATAATATATTACACATATATATTAGTGGTAAATCAATAAATAGTAAATAATATAATCATATAAGAAGTTATATTAGTAGATATTATAGTTATATCAATGATATATCAGTTGTATATCAAAAATAAATCAGATGTATATCAAGTGTATATATATATATATATATATATATATATATATATATATATATATATATATCAGTGTTATATCAATGATATATCAATGCTATGAGGGTAAATTTGACATTTTATTTTTTGACCTCCGTTTTTTCTAAAAAATTTGCTATATTTACAAATCTAAAATGTAGATGTTAAATTTGTTATTTCTTTAAATTTTTTTTGCTAGATTTGTAACTCCCCCTGAATTTAATTTATATATGGGGCATCAAACCAAATCATTTCATTAGGAGAGGCGGTAGATTTGAATCTGAATACTACATATCATTGTTATAATGTTATTGAACTATAAAAATTTAGAAATGGTGTGTGTTGTGTGAGTTGGAGACATCAACACTTGGCTGGTATACGTGTTGCATAACGAAACGTGGAGGCGTGGTGGAGCGTAGACGTGGCAACTCAAAGTTTCTGAATTAAAAAAGACTCAAAAAATTGAGAGGAGCAGCAGGAAGAGAGAGATGGCGTTAAACGACGACGCATCGAGGAAGACGACGGGTTCGGCGCTGGGCCAGAAGCGGAGCCTTCCGTTCAGTAACACGACCATGGCCGTAGCTGGGCTGGTGGTGGTGGGCGCCATCGGCTACGTGTATTACGTCAAAAGAACAAACTCTGCCAAAGATAATATTAACCAACGTCCTCCTCCTCGCTGATCCACTCCCAATCTTAGCTTATACTCTAAAGTTTAATTTCTTTGTTTTAATCATGTAACCAGAGATACGTGTGCAGTTTGTGTTTGTGTGTGTGTGTGTGTCTGATCTCTTCTCTTCATAACCCAATTTTCTGTGTGCTCTTCTTATGTAGTCTTAAATTTCGTTTAATCTTTATACACAGCATCACAAACTTTTTTCACCCAATTTAGTATGGCAATACTGTTTTATCTCTCGAATATATGAGATTCGCAATTTAAAACAAAAATACCGTCCTCCTTTCCCTGGAAGAGTGATTGAGGTCAATTCAATCACGTTTTCATTCATCTGAAATTTGGGTTGTTTCGGACAAAATCAATAATAACATAGGTAGGGGTCTTAAATATAATTAAATAAATAATAATAAGATAGGTTGATTTGTGTATTTAAAATGATGACAAGTTCATTATTCTTGTTAACGTCTATTCATGTTTCATGTGAGTTGGTAGGGAAGTTATATAGGGATCCATAAATCCTCACTCTTATCATTTCTTGAAGTTGATAAACCGAGTGAAAGAGCGATGGAAAGCTTTCTTGAAGTTGATAAACGAGTAAGGGAAATATAGTCAGCAAAATAATGTTTTTTAAGTTCTTAAAATTGATATTTAAAAATTTATGTGTACAATTTTAAAAATTTATGTGTCATACAAGTAGTGAAAAAGCAAAAAGGTACCTGAATGAGCTACGAAAAAGCAAAAAGGTACTTGAATGAGCTACGACAATGAATCGCATGTCTTTGTATGGGTGGGGATTCGAACTCGTAGCATCTTGATTAGAAGATGCTTAAAGAGTATATGTCAATTATCACTCACTCGCTTTGATATTATTATTATTATTTTTTTCAAAGATAGAAAAGATACCTACGTTCTTATATTCCTCTCTTTTTACTTAAAAAAATTAACGGTATTGCTTTTGAAACCCAACAGTGGCTTCGTTGGATTTGATGCCGTTACTTGGTCTTTTAAGACATCTCAGCCGTTGGAAATAAAAAAAATCCGCAATAAAGACAAAAACCCAACACACTCACACTCAAGTGGCCCCACCACAAGCCAACGGCTAGTTTTTCTCTCCTCTGCCTCTGCGTATAAATTCACACCCATTCTCCAATAACCCCACTACACCCAATTCATATTTCATTCATTAATTCTTTCTGTGCTTTCTCTCATCCATGGCTGGCGGTCTTTCAAGAGCTCTGCTCCTTCTCGTGTTCCTCCTCTTCAGCTTCTCGGAAGGCAGAGAGATGTTGGTCGGAGGCAAGAACAACGCCTGGAAAATCCCCTCCTCCCAAACCCAATCTCTCAACCATTGGGCCGAAACCTCTCGCTTCCGCGTCGGCGACACTCTCGGTAATTAAATTTACCCCATCATCTCAGGCCCAATTTTTGATTGCTTGAAATGAAATGTCATTGCTTTGAAATTCAATGATTATATTGCTCGATTTTTTGCTTTTTTGCTTTTTTGCAGTGTGGAATTACGAAGAAGGGAAGGATTCGGTGCTGAGAGTGGGGAAGGAGGATTACGAGGTCTGCAACACCTCCAACCCACAGCAGAAATTCGATGACGGGAACACGAAGGTGGAGCTGGACAAGCCTGGCCCTTTCTACTTCATCAGTGGGGCAAAAGGCCACTGCGAGCAGGGCCAGAAGCTGGTCGTCGTTGTTCTCACTCCACGCCGCAGATTCGTCAGCATCTCTCCGGCGCCTTCTCCGGCGGAGCTTGAGGGTCCGGCGGTTGCTCCCTCGAGCGGAGCTGCAGGTTTGAAGGCTGGGGTTCTGGCTCTGCTGCTGGGGGTTCTGGGTCTTGGATTTGCTAATTTCGTCTGAGGATTGGAACTGGAAGTTTTTTTTTTTTCGATTCAGATTTGGATGTGACTCCCATTCGGATTATATTAAACATTCATATAATATATTCATTTATTTTTCCATCTTCAAACGCAATACCTTCTTCTCTTATTTTCTTCTTTCTTTTTTTTTCTTTTTATATATAAATTTTCCAATACATAAATTTATTCACTTGTGAAATTGCCAGGGGTTAAAAAACAAATAAAGTTGAGCTCATTAGTAACTAAAATTTTAAATTTCAATAAAAATATTCAGACATTTTTTTAAAAAATTGATAATTGATAATTTTGTAATAGGAAATACTTGCTACTTAAGGGACCAAATATTATATAACAAAAACATTTTTTTTTTGTAAATAAATTTTGTCTTTTTAACAACTTTGTTTTTTTTTTACAACAAATTGGAGGCATGGACGAGTAGATTTCATGTGATATGCTAGAGACTATAATTACATAAAAGAATTGAATTTTATAAAATTTACACTTTTATGATGAAACAACCTCATAAAATTGGTTACTTTGGGTTACATTTTAAATCCCTTAAATTTGGATTAATTAGACTTTCAAAAAGTAAAAAAATACCAAATCGTCAAAATCCTCCATTATTGAAAAAATTCGAAAACCGTCATTCCTCCGACTTTTCTTCTTCTTTTGTCATTATGTTTCCGTCCATTCCTTCGTCTCCGGCCGTCGTCTGCGTTCATTCGCTCCAGCTGTCGTCTCCATTCTTCCTCGTCGTCGGAACAATTCGTCTAGCTTCTCCTTCGTCTCCGGCCGCCCGTCCGTTGTTTCCGTCGGTTTATCTCGAAGTTTTTTTTTGTCGTCAGCCATCCGTCGACCGTCCGAGCCCTCCGTTTATCCCCACCATTGTCTAGTCGTCGACTGGAAGGTTTGTAGGTTATTTACTTTGTTTGTTAATTGTAGAGGGATATAGTCGTATATAATTTATAGCTAGATATAGATTATATCTCCATATAAGTGTATGTCATGATGAATATATTTATATCACCATTGTTAAGTGTATGTTGCTTAAGTTTATAGCCAGATAGAGTTTATATTTCTATGTAACTGAAAAGGTAACCGGATATAATTTATATATAAGGAGTTGGGGATTACGATAATAATTGAATATTTTGTAACAAATTTCATTCTTTAGCAGAATATATTAAAGAGTAAATCATGGGACTATGAGAATGATTGATTTATGTCCCACCATAATTTAATGTTGACAAAATCAAATTTGGAATATTAATCTTTTGCATTTAAATAAAAGACAAATTATAATAAATATAAATGTCATAAATAAGGGCAAATTTGACATTCAAAAAAAGTTTTAAATCCAAAAATTTGTAAACATGGTACGAAAATAAGTTTCCAAAATAGCTTATACAATACATTATCTCAAAAAAATTAATAAATAAATTCACTCGTTTAACGGTAATTGACATATATGTGCTAAAATTATGATGTAGATAAAAATGAATATCAAAATGATAATTTTAAAAATACATTAATCACTCAAAAATAAAAATAGACATATGGACCAAAATAAATCAAAACTGAAATTAGAGATATATTTTGAACCAAACAGCTGATGTATGTTTTAAAAAGTTAATACTTTCATTCACTATATATTTCATAAATTTTGAACAAAGAACTGGGTTGGATCCTACATTATCATGGAAGAGTGTGGTTGATGAACAAATTTACGAAAACCACCACCCAATCACGAAGGAACCGAGTTAATATCTCGCGCTTGCCCTAAAGTTTTAATTTTTCCCACCATTTTGTTGATGCCTAAGGCCTTATTCTGAAACTTCTCCTCTTCCACACCATCCTACAATCACAATCCTCCATTTATTGCCAATCTAAATTTTCTTAATCAATCCTCCATAAAGAAAAAAAATTCCATATCGATTTCTTTACCAGATTCTGCTTCGTTTCCAAAACCATGGGCAGGTCCTCTGAAATTGAATCATGTTTACGATTCTGCAACTTCTGCAGATATTCGAGCCTTTGTCTCAAAAATCTGTTCAGAGAAAATGAAACCCGCCATTAGAGAACTAATTATAATCGATAGATTTTCGGAAAGCTTATGAAAGTCCGAAGAATCATTACCTAACTTCTGCTCCAAGAGTCTCCTTCCTCTGTCTTAGAACCTGCAATTTTCTCTTCTTCGAAACAAAATCCTGCAGAAAAAATAAAATGAAATTTCAAAACTGTGATATAATCGCTCCTCGTTCCTCAACACAATCTGCAATTCGAGAGAGAAGAAACCGAACCTTCTGGACTTCCAAGAAATCTTGCAGCAGAATTTGATATTTACGCCTTGCTTCCGATTCTTCATGAACAATGGCGGATTTACGAGAACCGATCGACGCTCTCTTCATCTTAGACTCTGACATCGATCGATTGTATAGAGAAACAACACAACTCGCGGATCAAAAACTAAAAAGTATCGGGCGGAAGGGTTTTAGAGAAGTTGAATTCGGTAGTAGGGGGGAAATTTTGGAATTCGAAATTTGAAAATTCTGGCCGCCGATCAAAAAATCGATCAGGATTCGATTTCAAAGCCTCCAAGACTTCCTTATCGAACCGATTTGAAGATAAGATTGAAGAAAAATCGGGAAACGGCGGTTTTTGGTTTTTGAGCGTGGATGAACATAGTAGAAGCGCGAGAAAGCAGAAGAAGGATGTGCAGAAGATGAGATTCGAATTGAAAATCATGGATGATAGATAGCTTATAATTAAGGATAGATTTCTCTCCATTTTGATCCTCAATTTCTTCCACATTTGGAGAGAGAAAAGAATCTTATCTTGGAAGGTTTTTTGGAGTGGATTTTTTGAGAATTAAAAGTGAGAATCGGATAAATGCATGCTCTGTTTATACTGATTTAAATTGCACGATTTCCGGTTCTTTCCTATTTCAGCCAAGGCCTTTTATGTAATTACCATATTGCCCCTTTCCTTTTTTAGTTACGTATTTAAGTAACAATTTAGTTATAAATTTTAGTTTTTAATGATTGTAATTTCTACGTAAAAAAAAAAAATTGATTGTAATTTAAAATTTATGACGATTTAATCTCTATTTTAAAACTTTTATATGAGATAAAATTTGCAAATGTAAGCAATCAGTTTTTGCCATCTCTCAAATATAATTATAAGAACTAAAAATATAATTTAACAAAAAATTATTTGGAGATTGGTAATAGAGTGTTCATAGGTTGGGTTGTGTTGAGTTGAAATAATTTTAAGACACAACATTATTTTATTCGAATGGTAAATTTACTTAATCCAAACAAACGCTTGTTAGATAATGAACTCAACCCAACCTAATCGTTAAAATATTTTAGTTGAGTTATTCTGATCACTCATTTAAAACATTGTATAACCAAAATAATAATAATAATAATAATAAATAAATAAATACTAATATAAAACTAAAACAAATATATCTCTATAATTATGTAATGGAGGAAAGAAATAGTTTTAAAATTAATAATAAGCTAAATCCAGCTATCACAATTTGAAGCATTTAGAGGAGGAAAGAGAGAGCGGGAACTTGGAGGTGGTAGCATATTGAAACGACAACGTAGTGGCGGGAGGTATCAGGCGTCCATTGTTGACAAGGCAGTCATTGAAGCCAAGGCGCCTAAAGACCAAAGGGTTTATGAACTTAGTCGAGCTGAACAAACCGCATTTCAGATGTAGATCGGCCACCCCGCACCCGGTTCGGCATTGGTTCGTTATCTCCACGATGAATGTAGGGATCCCATTGGACTGCCGCGGCCCCTCTCCTTGGGTTATCACTATATCATTCTCTCCACAATTTTCTATCACCACGCTCTCTCCACCTAATTATTAAATAAACAACATTATTAGAGATTATAGAATATATTTGGAGCAAGGGTTCAAACTTCCAACTCAATATTGATGATACATGTTTTAATTACCTATTGACATATTATTAATCTATTTCATATCTAAAGATATAGATGGTTTTTTTTTAAGTACATGAAATGAAAGACATTATATGTTAACAAAAATTAAACATGAAAGTTTATGAACTAAAATGAGATTTAAACCCTAACAAAATACAATTTGGTAGCTAGATTTGTGTTATTTGTAAATGTAACATCACTTCAGTTTTTTTATCCATTCTTTTCTTAGTTCAACGACATGCAGTGGTGAAGATTCAAACTTTTAATCTCCTGATCAATTATATATGTCTTGAGCTATCTTTTAAGTTTTGACATATATTTTTTTTATCTATTCCTTAACTATCTTTTTAGAATATTACATTATAAATATGAACGAGATGATTTGTATATCTACATTTGAGACAAGTGTAGATGACCCAAAACATTACTCGGATTTCCTGCATCAAAATAAAATACCACAATTCTTTTGAAATAAATATCCGAGTAGGGATGCTCATGGGTGGGGCAGGGCTTCCCCATCTCCACCCTCAGCCCCAATTTCATTCTCCATTCTCGCAAAATATATTGTCCATGAAAATTTGTAAGGATCACCCGGGGATTCCTCGCAAGAAATTCACAGAGATCGGGTTCCCCGTCAGGATTTTTTTTCCAGTTTATTTTTTATTTTCAAAATTATTTTTCAATTAAATATATCATTCTAAGGAAAATTTAATTAATGGTTTAAACTTTAACGATAAATTTTTCTTTACACGGTCAAATCCTCTACTGGGTGTGTAATTGAAGAATGTGGTTTTTTAAGTATATGTATAATATAGAGAGAGAATATTAAGAAATATACATATATATATATAAAGTGAGGTGGGGTGGAGAATGGAGAATGGGGATGGTTCCCGTTTAGGTGACAGGTGAAGCTTTCTTCATCCCCACCTCATTTAGGCGGATTCCCGGGGTCATCCATGTGGGAAAAATGAAAATAACTATATCTAAAGTAATAGAAACGTTTAATAAAATGATACCTGTTGAACATAGAAGGAAAACGAGTAAGGTTAAAGTCCCAAAGAAATAATAAGAAGTTGCAGGCTTCACCATGGCAATGGCAAGGATTAGGAAGCTTGAAATTGAAAAGAGAAAATATTGGTGAGGAAAGAAATCACATAAACCTGGTATAACATGCCTTCACTTTTATAGTGGAAAATTGGTTTTATTGAAATTACTAAATTATCTAATTCGTAATTTTTTTTTTTTGGTTAAAATAAAACCAATGGACCTTTTTTCTATGGGTGGGCAATTTTTTTATGAACGGACAATTTGCGAGTTGAGTTTTATTATATTTTCGAAATTTGGAAAATTCAATGTATTTTATTACGTAGTTATATAACTGTTTCTTATTCTGGAGTTAAGTAATTTGTGCACGCTTTTATTGTGATGTCAAGCCATATAATTCCTAATTAATTGCCATATAATCCCTAACTAATTTTATCCTAGAAAAAAAATCCATAATTAATTTAACCAGCATGCTGTGTACTTTATGGCAGGAGTGCATAGGTGAGATTAAAAAATAGATATGACCAATCGAAACTGACCTAATCTTCATCTCAACTTTCTCTACGTTATTCTCTCACGAATTTCTTCATACATGTCTTTCCATCATTCAGATATGAGAGTTTAAGTATAAATTATTTTCTTGTCTCTCAAACCTGGATGCTCTTGGTTCCTTCTCTGTCATTTAATGCTTTAGTCATAATTTTTTTCTAATCTTGCGAACTCTTCGAAAGAGATCAAATTGGTGAAAAATAAGGGAAGAAAAAGACGGTCAGTCGATTTCGACACCAAACCGACTAATGTTTATCCCTACTTTGCAATAGAGTTATTAATAAATATACACACCATTGAAAATTCATGTCTACAAATACTCCATTTACATCTTAGCAACCAATTAAATTTCCATACTTTGTTTTAACCATATAATTGTTAAGACATATTTGAATCAATTTAAAGGTTAATGATAAGATATAATTAATTGAACCAAAGTTTAAAGTTGAGGAACACTCAATTCAGCCTATTTTAAAGGTAATTTCCAGCGGTTGGGGGCTTAAGAGAATTGGGCGAAGCCCGAAATTAGTGCAAGCTTCACTTGTCATGTCAAGCCGTATAATATCTAATTAATTTACGATGGGGTTTGGTATACTTTTAATTTAATTTTTTTAAAGATATTTTTAATTATGTATTACTCACCATTGTTAATAAAAACTGCTTTTTAATAACAAATTTATTTAATTGAACTTCCATTCAAAACTATTCTAATAATTATCAACCTGAGCGTAGTTTCAACTAATTAAGGTATTTATCATGTATCAAAAGTTCACGAGTTTGAATCCACATTCCAGCAGGTTGGACTAAAAAAATTATTCTAATTCTTATTTTACTCTAATTCTTATAAGGATATGTTTGGGAGTGAAATCACCTTTGTCATTGTCAAAATTACTTCCATTTTTATTGATCATGTTTGGCAAATTAAAAAATCGATTTTAGGAAAGTTTAAAATTACAGAGTATCACTTAGATCGTGATTTTGGAAAATCAATTGTACTTAAATCTCCTTTTTTCAATATCACTCATCCTACCATCACTCTCAAACATATCCTAAATTTATATTGTATTATTGCTTATTAGACCATCATTTTTAACTCACTATTTGGATGACCACTTCTTTAAGTATTTCTTAAAATAAATGTTGGTAGATGAATATGATTTTCTAACCAACACTTTTTGTCCTCTAAAATCAATTAGAAAGTTATACTAGACATGTCCTAATGGCATGTTTGGGAGTATTTTTTATTTAGCTAAAATTACTTTTCCTATTTTATAAAATTGCTTTTCCTATTTTATAGAATTACTTTATATCATTATAAAACGTTAAGGGATGTTTGGAAGTAATTGTCGAAATTACTTTTGTTATTGTCTAAATAACTTCTATTTAAAATAATTATATTTTATAATGATATACAAGTTATTTTAGAAAAGGGCAAAACTGATGTTGATCCTACCAAAATTACTTTCAACCACGTGCTAAATTATGATTATTCCAAAAGCAATTTTATTTACAAGTCTTTTTTTTGTTTCCTTTAAATCATCACAAACACGCTATTAGGTGAATGAATGTTAAATTGATAGATGAATAAATGACAGAGAAATCTATTAAACATGAAATTTACATGAAATTAAAATTTCAAGATTGTAATTGGTATTTCTTTAAGAGTTTAAAGAACTAAGTAAACACAATTAAAAAGTATGGACCAGCTTTGTAATTTAAGTTATTTAACAAGAAAATGAAAAGAATAAAACAAAATTAAACTCAGGGTAGGAATGCATACGTATATGCACACGTCACTTCTTGATTCCATTCCAACCCATCATCCTCCTATTTTAAAAACTAAACATATCATGAAGGGAAATAGTACCAGGTAAAAAGGTCGGGAAAATTGTTTGACACCATTAAAATCACTTTCCATTTTCATCCACCGTATTTGATCTATTAAAAAATTGATTTTAGAAATATTTAAAATCACTCTAAATTGATTTTTAAGGTATTTGATTTTAAAAAATCAATTTTACTTTAATTTTTTTTTTCAAAATCACTCATTTTATCATCACTCTCAAACATATATTCAATTATTCTGAAAGTAAATCTATTTAACAATCCAACCTAATTATGAAAATATTTTGATTTGGTGGATTGAGTGATTGGAATCATTTATTCAAAATATTGTATAATAAAAAATTGATAACATCTTAAACATTTATTTATATATTGTTTGAGATTTAATCAAGATCCATAAGTAGATATTTATTTATATAGTGAGAAAATACACTTCAAAAACTTTAAAAATCAAGATCCAATAGTCCCTAGATTATTGAATGGAATAGTCTATTGAATAAAATTAAAAGTAAATAATTCATATTAAATTTGAGTCAATTGGTTTAATGGAAATTCATTTTAAGTGAACTTTTGAACTAACTCAAACTCGTACAATTTTAATATATTTGGATCCAATCCAACTCAAACGAACTTATTCAACGGTAATGGAGAGTTCGATTATCCACACATCTTGTACTAAAAAAGCTGAAACGAGCTTATTAACCCAACCCTAACTTTTTTAAACCCCCTGACCTGATTTCTTGAAATACATATATCTCAAAATTTTAGGATTTTAATATACGCAAGTTGGCGGAGGAGTTAGAAAAAAGGCATTATTAAGTTAAATTAAATAATCTCCAAAATTTCCTTTTCTCGATCTTCGTTCGTCAGCGGAACATGAAGTCTTCTTCTTCTTCTTCCTCTTTCTTCTATGGAGGATGGATCTCTCTGAAGCTCCAAAAATGGCGGAAGATCCAAATTCCGATCCATCCAAACACCGGCCAAATCAATATACATCCTCCAAATCTTCAATTGCAGCCAGAGCCAACAACTACAAATTCCTCTCCGTCGTCACGCAACCTTTCCGGTGGCTGAAATTGCTCTCATCGGAGCTAAATCCGAGCTTCATTTTCGGCGTAATCCTCGTCTACGGTCTCAACCATGGCTTCTCCGGCTCCTATTTCAAAGTCGTCTCCGATTACTACTGGAAAGACGTTCAGAAACTCCAGCCGTCCGTCGTTCAGGTCTACATCGGGATTTACGCCATCCCCTGGGTGATGAAGCCGGTTTGGGGACTGCTCACGGACGTGTTTCCGGTGAGAGGGTACCTCCGGCGGCCGTATTTCGTGCTGGCCGGCGTCGTTGGGACGGTGTCGGCGCTGGCACTGGCGGCGAAGGGCGGATTAGGGGTTTTGGGGGCTCTAGGGTTTTTGATTGGAGTTTCGGCGGCGATGGCGATTGCCGATGTGACGATTGACGCGTGCATTGTGAGAAGTAGTATTGAGGTGCGGTGGTTGGCGCAGGATTTGCAGAGTCTTTGTGGCGCTTGCTCGTCGATCGGTCATTTGATTGGGTACTCCATTAGCGGCCTCTTTGTTCATCTTCTCGGAGCTCAGGTCCGCCCGATTTTCCTTTCTCCTTCGTCTTCCTCCCCCTGTTTCTTTATTGGGAAAAATAGCTGTTATATAAATATTAAAATTTAAAAACAAATGCATGGCTAAGGGCTTAAGGCCCATTTTATAGGGAAATTAGTTTTCTGACTTTATTAAATAAAATTTGTCTTTTCGAGGTATGTTATTCACCTTTCGAAACAAATCGAGTTTTTTAAACTTTTTTTCCCCAAAATTTTGCTTTAGATTTTTTTAAACTGTTTTTAATGAGACAACAGAATATTTAGGTGGCAGTGGAACGAGTGGTTTTTTTCTTTGATAACAGTGGAATTCATGGTTGTAATTTTTAACTTTAAATTAATATAAAACTAAAAATAAAATGGTTATGAAATATGATTAAATGTTAGTTAAAGCGGGCCTCAATGATAATTGTCATATATCTCCAACCAAAAGGTTGTAAGTTCGAATCTCCTTTCTTACATGCTCTTAGCTTCCATCTGATTTTAATATTGTTTCGAGGAGTATATAATTTCCTTTTTAAACAAATATTAAATTATAAAAGACACTAATTCCTTTTAATATAACACGAGGTGGGAATTCAAACACACAACGAGATACTTACTCTAACTTATGTTCAGGTTGCCAATATTTATGGTTGCAAGATAGAAAATATTTATTTTTAAGAAAGTAAAATATTCATACAATTCATGCCTTTATTGAGTACTCTTATTTCCTGCAGAAACTTTGATACGGATATTTTAGTTTCTAGATCTATTGCAAATTAAAATTATTTTATTCCACCCTTTAAAAAAAATAGTTCTTACTACTCTTTATATATATATATATATATATATATATATAAATTATTTAATATTATCCTAAAATAAATATGTAGCTTCTTCATTTGTCTAATGAATTGATATTAAAATAAAATTTATTTGAAGTTGAAGTTATACCTAAAAGTTACATATCAAATTTTAGACCATAAATGATAAATAATTAACATCAAGATTGAAATAATTTTCTATACATGGTTTGTCTGACAAAACATATTTAAATTTTTGGTCAGTAAACAGTTAATTTAGAAACTATGTATGACAATCATACATAGTTTCTACTTCTTATACTGATTTTTTAATTCAGAATTTGTAGTATATTTCGAAACTACATATTTATTTTATGCCTAAAAAACTTACATCCTTAATTTTTGTGTTTAGAACGACTTTTTGAAAGAAAAAATATATATATAATTAGCATTTTGGAGAATTACTTACTTTACTGTTGTGTTTGGATTGGACACAGGAAGCACTTGGAATATTGGCAATTCCCCCCGCCATGATAATCGTGTTGGGCTTCGTCATATACGAGACAAGATCCACCACCACCGGATCTTACGGGAAGGGAAAGGTTTTTACTTCTTTTAATCTTCATTTTTCTTTTTCAATATTTACCAATATTAAAGCTTTTAAATCAAATAATAAATTTAGTAAATTTGGATAAATACCTTTTTTTTCTGGGTCTAAAATCATGCAAAATAAATTTATTTCCCATTCCCCAACTCTATCTCTATTCCCCTAATGCAGGCAGAATGTATAAAGCAAGTGGGAGTAGCTGTAAAAGACACGTGTAAAGCCATCAAATACCCGCACGTGTGGAGGCCTGCTCTTTTCATGTTCCTCGCGCTCTCTCTCAGTATAAGTACTCACGAGGGCCAATTCTATTGGTACACGGACAAGAAAGCGGGCCCCGCATTCTCTCAGGTCTTCGACATGTCGTCACTCTACTGCAACTCTTAACTCATCTCGATTAAACGTCATGTCGGATTATTTCTTTACGACCTTCTTCTTCTTCTTTCCAGGAATCG